TCGTCACGATCACACTGCTTGAAACAACGCACCCATTGTTACTAAATCAACACAGAGTCCGGAATGTCCTAGTTTTGAAAAAAGTATACCTCAGTCAGTTCTTTGTTTCTTGTTTTAGGCACTACGCACTGCTCTGCATAGCCGCGCATCACTAATTCTGTGAAAACAAGCGCGAGCATGTCTGAGCTGCTCAGAAGCAGGTTGGGTGCGTAAAAAGTCCTAAAGTGGCAATGCGGGTGACCTCAATGCGAACCGAGTGACTACTAAGTCAAGGATATGATTGGTCGCCCGAGGCCAGGGAGTAGTGAACCGCCGTTCGTGCCCCTACGGCGGCAGGCTGAGTAGATAAAAAAGGGCGTTAGCTTCAAGTCGACCGTACCTTTTGAAAAGTAGGCCGGCTAGAGATTTGCGCTCTCAAGTGCGACCTTGAATCGACCAATCACAGGTTTGTGCACTCTCGTTACAGGGAGGGGGTGGATCGGCGCGGATTGTAATGACGTCACACAGACACACCCCCCACCCGAGTTACTCGTCCACCCTCTCCGCCACGCCAGTTAGCGCGAGTGCGCGGCCCCGGACACCAAGTGCACTCACCAAGAGCAAAATTGTGTCATCGAGGTTGCCGCAGTCACTCCACGGCGGTTTGCTTATCGCACACAGTTCGAACACGGACGGACCTCGTGAAAGTCAGGAGGATCTCCCTCGGTGAGTGTTCCTTATAGCCATCCGCTTTTTTTGAAACCCAACGCTCCTAGATATTTATAAAAAAATTGTCGGTGTCTGTTTTCTTCTTGAGACCGGCCGCTCCGTTGCCTGGACTTGTTTTGTTTATAGGCCGGACATCCTTACCACTTGCTGTGTAGTCGGTTTGGGTATCCTTTGCGTTAGCTGCAATTTCTGAGAGGCCCATCTCATAGAACAGCTTGCCAGGCTAAATGGGGTATTCGTCTCTTTTCCAAAGATGTTGGGGGCGGGGGAGGCGTAGTACTTAGGCTTCTGGCGTACCTATAATGCCAACTCACTCCCGGCTGTCGTAAACATCGATCTCCCCATAA